GAGGGCACGAGCTGCTCCCCCCCTCCCCCAGCTCAGTCCTCACCTTTCTGGCTCCTCGTTTCGCAAACTCCCGGGCCAGGTGGCGCCCGATGCCTCTGCCCCCTCCGGTGATCAGCACGTTCTCCCGGGACAAGTCCCGCAGCCTGGCCGGCAGCAGCACGCACACGGCAGCTTTGATCACCAAATAGACCATCTGCACCGGGAAAAGCAGCAGCGCGCCCAGCCATTTCCACACCATCCTCTTGCTCCAGGCAGGGCAGGAAACCCCAAACCACCCCCCACGCGGCTCTTCTCCACACCGCACCAAGAGACTTTAGGGCAACACCCCTTCTTGCTCCCCCCCCAGCAGGGGGAACAGTCTTCAACCCCCTTCCAAAAACCCGGGGGAAAGAAAACCTTGGCCGAGAAAGATCCTTCTTCCCCCCCAAGCCAAAAAAAAGGGGGGGGAGGAATGAAATTGTGCAAAAGATAAGTTGCTTCCCCTCTCTTCGTTGCTCAGTTTCCTTTGGGATTGTCACATGCAGGTAAAATGTGTTTCTACTGGAGGAGGACAGAGAGTTTGTTTAAGTTGAAAAGAGCGAGCAGAGGGCCTGGAAGAGAAAAAAAAAGTAAAACCAGCCAAACCCTGCAGTTTAAAAGTGCAAAATTAAAATCCAGTTTCCAAATGGCAGGGTTTTATATTTGAAAAGGGGGGGGGGGGGAAGGAAGCAGCAGCCCGGGTCTCCAAATTTCAGCCTGCAGCGCAGCCCATGTCTATTCTTAAACTCAGGAAATTGCTTAAGGCTTGCCAGGACTTTCTTTTTAAGAAAGGGTCTATTCAGTGTAAGGTGGTTTCTGGTTTTTTTTTTAAAATATATAAATATCTATAGACAGTCTCCTCCGAGCCTGCTGCAAAAGGCAGCGCTGATTAAGTGCCTCGCTCGCCCCCCTCTCCTGTTTCTTTCACTTGGAGTATCTGTGATCACAGACGGGGAATTATGCTGGGCACCGGTTCAGCTCGGGGTTTTTATTCATTTCTCCCCATTGCGCGCTCTGCCTATCACAGCTGCAGCGCCGGGGAGGTTTTATACCCCATTGAGCCTGATTGACAGTTAAAGTGTTGGGGAGATTTTACTACTGTTTCTGAGTGGCTGGCTTTGGCTCTCCCCTCCCCCAGAGCTATCTCTGAGCCACTGCACATAAACTCACACACAATCTGAAACAGACACTCTCTGGGTTGCAGTCTGCAAGCCAAGACTTGCTGCATGCCACGTTGGGCTTGCAAAAGCAGCTGTAACTGAAGAGCATTGTAACAGAGAGAGCCAGCTAAACCTCCTCCTCCACGTGAATACATTTCAGATAACATGCAGTGAGTTTCCTCCAGCCCAACAAAAGCAAGAGAAATTGGGGTTAAGGGTCAGTTATGGGACTCCTCTATTCCTAAGAGTTTCAGCTTAATGCGGGGTAGCAGAGTAATTGGTAAGAGGACAGTTCCTGATTTAAATCAAGGCAGTTAATGCCTGAAATGTGTTAGCGTTTTTTGGGTTGCTTCATGGCCTGTGTGGAATTAATTTGGAAGATTGAATCCAGTTCCTAGTCAACCAATGTTCACATCACAGGTGTTATGGATTACTGGTCCCTTGGGGGGCGATACAGAAGTCAGGTATTAAAAGAGCCAGGGAGACTGCTTGCCTCAAAGGAAGTCGCTTTCGGCCACTTCATTTAGGTGCCAAAAAAAGGGAGCTGTGCTCCTCTGAAACTCTGCCCATTCATTTATCCTTGGCTTTAGCACAAGTACATGACAAGATTACAACACATATAGGTCACATCAGCACCATAAAGCCATGTTGTAACTGGGTGAAGGGACAAATGTGTTGTAATCAGGTCGCGTGATTTGGTTGTTTTGCATGGGTTAAGCAAGGGTTTGTTATATGTTCCGTTCCATGGTGTAAACCAGTGGTAGGCAACCTGCGGTCCATCAGGGTTCTGCGTATGGCCTGGGAGACATTTTCTTTACCATGGCTCATGCACAGCGTTGCCAGATTCTGCTGGGTCCCATCCGCGTAGTTTTTTTATTCCTACCAGTGTTACTAAAGTGACACGCATGTAAAGCACAGCCATGTGAAGCGAGGTGCGTGCTGATTGCATACAGCACTGGCTGTGAGAGCCGTGTGTTCCCTCTGCGTCCAGTCAAAGCGCGGCTACGGTTCAGTCGGCCCCACCCCGCAAATTCTAGATACGCAGGCGCAGTGAGCAAAACTACCCTCTACTGGGAGACTGTCTTGGTTATGACAATCTTGTGGGCCACTGAGATGAAGGACAGCCACTCCGGCAGCCCACTTACTTGCCTGGGCTGCTCATCGGTGTGAATTCTCTTGCGGAGGGTCTGCTTGCACATTTTCTAAGTAGACACAGCTAAGAAGATTGGTTACATTCATGTAAAACTTAAAAGGAAGGATGCCATTCCCCACTCTGCTATTTTTACCAATGGTGTCTTTGATTTCATTACCTTGGAAAACGCTGCTTTTTAAAATTTTATAATTGCATATTTTGTGTAAATCCGGGATGAAAAAGGTAAAAGTAAAGGTTTTACCAAACTACATCCACCAATGAATTCATATGAGGTTCATTTTTCTTTATTTGCTATAGTGGGAAGCCATCTAGTGGTCAAAGAAGCTAATGGAAATGACTGATCTGGAGCAGGGATGTTAAGGACTAGTCGACGATCCGATAAGCAAATGCTTATTGGATACTCGACAAGATAGTCGACTAGTTGCTTCCCTCCCCCCCCTTGCTGCCTCTATCAGATAGAGCAGTGGTGCGCAACCCGTGCGGGTTGTGGCTGGGCCCTGGGGGGGGGGGGGTTGTAGTGCTTTGATCTGGGCTGGCTGGTATTTTCTGTTCCCGGCTCCATGCCCGTACATGCAGCAGGGGCGGGGGGGATTGGCAGGAGTGGAGTGGCAATTAAAGGGGCTGCCCTTTTTTTGTTGTTTTTTTGCTCAACGAAAATTTTTCCAGACCCCTTTTATTGAGTCCGGGGGTCACGAATGCAAAAAGGTTGCATACTCCCGAGACAGAGGCAGCAAATGGTGGGTGCTTCAAAGCAGCAGCATCGCACGGAGCCTGGGGTCAGCTGCTCTGTGTAGCGCTGCCACTTTGAAACACCACAGTGGCATTTCAAAGGGGCAGAGCCACCCTATCGACTAATCATGCAAAAATGCATCGACTATTCAATTAGTCAATTACACAATACTTAACATCCTTATTCTGGAGCCATGCATTTTGAACTGTTAGAGGACACCTTCAGAAATGCTGTGAATGAGCCACTTCCACCCTGATTTGATTAGCCTCATTAACACAATATATATACCCCTGCTTCTGTAACTTCCACTTCAATTCATCTGATGAAGTGGGTTTTACCTTCAAAAGCTTATGCCCCAATAAATCTGTTAGTCTCAACGATGCCACAGGACTCCTTGCAGATATAGACTAACATGGCTCCCCCTCTGAGATTTATTAAGGGAACATTGTCAGTTTGAATAACTTTGAAGTGGTCTGGCTTTAAAAAAATCTGTACTTAAGTAGTTAGGTTAGATTTTCCAAAAGCACTGAAATCACAGAGTGCCTAAAGCTCAGCAAAAAATCACTGGGGTGTAGGCTCATGTGTCGCCCTAAGTAGGGCTGCATGGCATTGTGGTTGAGTCCCTCTAGGATGGAGATGGGCTTCAGAATTTCTACCTGCAACTTCAAAGCACTGTCTATACCACTAGTTTTCAAACTTTTTTTCTCATGACCCAGTTGAAGAAAATTGTTGGTGCCCACGACCCAACACAGTTTTTGACTAGAGTGTGGGCACCAGAGTGGGGCTGAGGATCAGAGCTTTGCGGTGTAGGAGGGGGCTCCACTTTGGGGGAGAGAGGCCTGTGGCAGGAGGGGCTTACCTTGAGCGGCTCCCAGTCAGCCATGCATGGAGGGTGCTAAGGCAGCTCCCTGCCTCTCTTGGCACCACAGACCATGCTGCACCCCAGAAGCAGCCGGCAGCAGGTTCCCAGCCAATGGGAGTGTTGAGCTAGTGCTCAGGGGATGGGCAGTGTGTGGAGCTCTGTGTGCCCCCTTTCCTCCCCGCCAGGAGCCAGCCACTGCAGGGGCACAATGCAGTCTGAAGTGCCAGGACAGGCAGGTAGCTGCTTTAGCACCTCCACTGGTCACTTGATCCCCTTGCAGCAACAAGACCCAGTGTCATAGAATCATAGAACCACAGAGCTGGAAGAGACCTTAGAAGGCCACCAAGTCCAGCCCCCAGCCCAAGGCAGGACCAATCCCAATTAAATCAACCCAGCCAGGGCTTTGTCAAGCTGGGACTTAAACACCTCTAGGGATGGAGATTCCACTACTTCCCTAGGTAACCCATTCCAGTGCTTCACCATCCTCCTAGTGAAATAGTTTTTCCTAATATCCAACCTGGATCTCTCCCACCACAACTTGAGACCATTGTTCCTTGTTCTGCCATCCATCACCACCGTGAACAGCCTTTCTCCAGCCTCTTTGGAACCTCCTTTCAGGAAGTTGAAGGCTGCTATCAAATCCCCCCTCACTCTTCTCTTCTGCAGACTAAATAGACCCAACTCCCTCAGCCTCTCGTAGGTCATATGCTCCAGCCCCCTAATCATTTTGGTTGCCCTCCGCTGGACCCTTTCCAATGCATTCACAGCCTTCCTGTAATTGGGGGCCCAGAACTGGACACAATACTCCAGATGTGGCCTCACCAGAGCTGAGTAAAGAGGAATAATCACATCTCTGGATCGACTGGCAATGCCCCTCTTAATGCAACCTAGTATGCCATTAGCGTTCTTGGCTACAAGGGCGCACTGTTGACTCATATCTAGCTTCTCATCCACTGTAACCTCCAGGTCCTTTTCTACAGAACTGCTACTTAGCCAGTTGGTCCCCAGCCTGTAACAATGCTTGGGGTAGTGCTGACATTTCACAGCCTCATACAAGTTGAACCTCTCTAGCCTGGCACTCTTGGGACCTGACCAGTTCCAAACCTGAGAATTTTCCGGACCACAACGGATCGATATTGTCTAGCAGCATTGCCAACACTTCCACTGCTTACTGGGCTCTTAGAAGACATTTAGGGTAAATTAGAGCTAAATAAGAGCACAGAACACTGAGAGCCAGGACTGGTGGCTCTAAACAAACTTTATGGGACCACGGGAAACTTGGCCACACCCATGAAAAGTGGACATTCAGCTAACTAAAATCATGCCTGACCATGTATGTTGCCGGATGAGAGAGTTCTGGATTAGAGAGGTTCAACCTGTCCTGGGTCTGGACTGGCGGTTTGAAAACCACCGGTCTCTACAGCAATTTTTAGAGCAGTAGTGTTAGCCTTTGGTTTGTCATCCTGGGCTGAGTAGTGTGCTCCAGAATGCTGTGTAGACATACCCTTTTGTGTTTTGGACAGTATAATCCTCACAAGCGGATTTACACCAATGGAAACTTGGTGCTCATCAGCTCTGAAAAGAAGATTCCTTGGCTATACCTGCTTAAATGTGGATTCAGTATCTAATTTGACTTGAGGCAGCCACAGTTGAACATTTTGACTATGGGACTTGCTTCCTGGTCATGGTCTACCAGGACTGGAACCCAGCTCTCTTGACGCTTAGCCCTGTTTTTGGTCCATGAGACCACATTTTCCCTCAGAAAGAATGTAGAATTTAAAGAGAAGCCTTCATACTACAAACCCTTGAAGTAGACCATCTGGCTGCCACAGTGCCCCCAGGAAAGGTCATTTTTGAGAGAATAAATTCTAAACTTTCAAACTGTGGAAAAGTGAACTGTGGAAACCAGCCTCAGTTCAGAGCGCTTCCTTTGCTACTCGGCAGTATTTAGCATCTCTGTGCTATTACAGCGATATTTAGAAAGGGAGCTGCTGGAGGCCACCTGGCATTGCAATTTTCGTCTGAGTCCAACAGTTCTGGAGGGGGAGAAGAAATTACACAGAAGGTCTAGTGTCTGGTTTTGAACAAGGAGGACTCAGTCTCTGAGTTGGTAACAAATGTAG